GGGAACAGGCTTTGCCTTGGGCTTCGCCTGGTCAGCGATTGCTTGTGGGGTTTAGGATTAAGGGCTTAAGATGGTCTAAGGTTTGGGGTTCGGGGTTTTGGGTTCCGTACCCAGAGTTTCGGGAAGTTTAGGGCTTACCCCTTGTCTTGGAGTGAGCTTGCAAAGCGCGGAGTTAGGGGCAAAGTCGTGGTTGCTGAGGAGTGGGGTTTGAGTGGAAGGGCTTGTGTTTACTTTTAGGAGGCGTTCGGATGGAGGGTTTACGGTTATTGAAGGCTCTTTTCAGTCCTATTTCAGGTGGCATCAGACCCCTCATCAATGCCATCACTTTTTAACTCATGAACCCCAAAATCGTGTGCTCATTGGAATTTCCCAGGCGGAAGCTCAGAAGCTCAACAAAAATCATTAGTGCAATTTTGGCCGGAGGCTGTCAAATCCGAAAGGTTCGAAGCCCAAAGCCCCCGAGGCATTGGCAGGTGCTTGAAGCAGCGCAACCTCGCACAATGTCAGGTACTACATGTGTTGTCAGAGATTCGGAAAAATGTGGCGCCAAGCACGAAGGCATGCTTTCAGGATTCCGGGGCGCAGTCAGCTTAGCCTCCTGTGTTTCCTGGGATCAAGGTTGTCATGAACAGTCTGAAGGAGAAACGTCCGTGCCCATCAGCTATGCTGCGATAATCACATGGACATGGTCCCACATTCTTCCACCTATCCTTAAACCCTACTAAACTTAGCTACACTCCTAAAACCCTTAACCCTTCTAAACCCCTAACCCCTCTGAACCCCTAAACTCCTAAGCCCTAGAAACCCTAAAGGCCCCAGACAAAAGGACTGAAACCCACAAGAGCCAAAAGATCCTGCCTTGGCCATGGCAGCAGAGACGCGCCGGAAGCCCTGACAGAGCATCGAGGAGAGAGTCTAGCATAGGGCTCCTTGTAAGGATTCTGTCACGATCGTAGATTCTAAGGTCTTGGGTTTACGGCTTCAGGATTTTAGGGCTAAGTGCCTCAGCAGAGGAGTCCCGATGCAGACCACAACCCGCTGATCCTGCACCGGCAACCGTCCATCCCCTCTTGAAAACGGAATCAAGGTGGTACATACTGGTAGTGGAACGAGCATGCACCCTGTTCTTCAATCTGTTAAATGTGATGTAGCCTAACGCAACATCACTCGACTGTTGAAGCCGGCCTATGCCCGAGATCCAACGTTTAAGCCCCTAACCCGGGCAATATGCCGGCTCAGACCACGTAGATCCGAGGAATCAATTTGTTCGTGCTCGATACTAATACTCTGCTGATACTTCTTCGATAATGCTACGTTATATACTGTTTAAAAATAATACTATGCAAGTACTGTAGAATAGTAAGACGGGCGGCCTTGGTCGCCGGGCGGCTGCTGCCCGCCTCGGCTGCGAGCCACTGTAACGGTAACGAATCAGGATGAAAAGAAATAACCTATGCCAGCTGTAACCCTCTGACGATGATGTTGACTCTATATCCTTAACCTGAGACCTGAGGCCGGGGCGCCGACAAAACTACACCCCAAAGCTCGCCACCCGATCTTAAGGGATCATAGCATTGTAGTATGAGTATAGCACTATTTACCATAGTATTATTATATCCAGCATATTTATAGTATAGTACTGTGATAGTATATAGCATTATTAGAGTATTATACGAATAACTTCAGCCCGACGGCTGGATTATAGCATTGTTATTCTATAGTATTAGTAAAGTAAATTTATTGTAAAATACTATATAATAAAATTCGTATTGTTAAAGTATAGTATAGTACATCATTAGAGTAATTTCGTATTATTTGCTATAGTAGAGTACTACAAGCATATTACAATAACTTCAGCCCGACGGCTGGAGTGGGCGGCTGCAGTGTGGAGCCGCGCTTCTGCGACGCGAGGTTCGACTTCCGCCGTTCCTCGGGGCGCAGGCGCGTTTGGCTTATAGCCTTTGGAAGGGTTCTTAAGGGATTAGGGGTTTAGGGTTTAGGGGTACTTGGAGGTTCATGGGACTTAGTAAGTAGGGTCGTAAGTACCTTAATTGGGGTTATAAGTATAGTTACCCTACTCATAACCCCACGTATAACTACCCATGAACCTCCAGGTAAGGGTTTAGGGGGGATGTCAGGTCATTGCGTTTCGTCTGCAGGGTTTGCGGGGCTCTTGAGTTGGCACGGGGGCCGGGTTTGGGGAGGCGCCCCATTTGATCGTATACAAACAATTCTGATTACTGAGACCAAAGACTACCGAAATGGGCCGGCTACTTTCAATGAAGAAGCACACCATGTGTTATTCGTACTCCTTGAAATCAGTACCGCTTACCCCTGCAACGTCGGTCCCCTCTTTGCTGTCATTCTTACATTCTGCTGACGAACGGATTACGGTATCCTGAAGCCTAAACCCCAAAACTCCAAACACCTACACCCTAAACCCTGATCCCTTAATCTCCTGCTCCCCAAAAACCCCAGACCCCTGATCCCCCTAAACCTAGACCCCTAAGACCCCTAAACTCCTAAACCCCTATGAAACCCTGGAGTTTCGGTCTCGGGCCTGCTCATTGAGCTCGTTCGCGATGCCCGCAGCCTCTCTCTGCGGTTTCGGGTTTCCGGCTTCAGGGCTCTGTAAAAAGCAGGGTGTGCCCTGAGCCTCGAAATACCTGCCTTCCTAGGGGCGTATCGAAGAACCTCACAGTAGTTTGTAGATTCGCAGCTCTTTTGCTTGTTTTGGAAGGGGGAGGGCTTAAGGTAGGTTTTTAGGGTATGGAGTGCAGGTCTAGGGAAGCCTTCGCTGCGCATCAGGTGTAAGAGCCAGGCTACGCAGCCAGAAAGCGCTGCATGGATGTCAGACCCGGACAGATGCGATTCCGAAATTCTAGGGTTTAGGGTATCATGAGCCAGCCGCCATCAGAACGTAATAATGACAACCTCAGGCCGTAGGAACGGACATAGAAAACTAGCAGTAGCAGCGAGTCTTAGCATCGTTGGGAACAACCAGGGATGGCCCCATGTACCATCGAGGAACAAGTTCCAGTTTTCACCGAACCACATCCCTTATCCAAAGCCCTGAACCCTGCAATCCTTCAACGTACAGTCCACAAACGTGAAATCGGCACCTTTCTTCTGTCTCTTCGATTCGGGTGTTGCATCTTCAAGGGTTCTTCAGAAATGCCTACAAGCTGAAGTGTCATCCGGCGTCCTGGTTGCATTCGGTCAAGGGTCATGGGTGTCGGGCTTCGGGACTTTCTGAGTTCTGCGTCAAGGGTTCGGGGTGTAATTCTTGGTCAGGCAGGGACAAGTGAAGAATTTCCTTTTTCGCAGCAGCAATAGGACCAGCTATATGGGTAATTGTCAGAATTATGGTCCCTTTTGGGTACCCTAAATATGAGGTGCCGTATTATAATAAGGACCCAAGAAAGCATCCTATTTTTGACAACCACCCATATCCATGCCTCATGCCTGCGGATAAACCCGGTAAGACTAGGCTTCCAAACCCTGATTTTTATAGGCGCCTGAATAATTAGAATATGGTTTTGGGGCCCATCATGCTATCATGATGACAAGGAACGCCAAGATAGTATAGGTAATCATAGAGGCCCTGTACCCTAAACCCTGTAGATCCCTTAAGGGAACCCTCCTAGTACCCTTTACAGGGACCCTATAATCATTAAGGCCCCTTTATACACACCTGGAGCGTGAAATCCCCAAGGACGCCTGCGCCGGCATGGCAGCACCGGACATCCGACGATGGCTCGACAGCCGGCGGTTTTGCGCTGCCTCCTCTGCGAAGCTGCGGTTTTTGGGGGGCAAACCCTATAGACCCTGAGCCCTAGACCCAATAAACCCGGAACAGCCTTAACGGTGCGCGGTGCCGTGGTTTTGGGGGAGATTCGGGGGCTTAATCCTCCTAAAGTGATTGCTTCTGGTGTATAGTCATCTCGCCGTTTAACTGAAATACTTTCCGAACATGGAAATTCTGTTGAGTTTTACCAGAAAAACCCTAAACCTGAATGCTAAACCATTAAACCCTATAAAACCTAAAACTTGGGGCCCCGAAACGGAAATCAAAGCTGGCTTTCCAGGAGAGGAGAGCAAGTCTTGGAATGCAAGATTCCCATCTTCCTGGTGCAGGCATTGTAGGTTCAGGGTTTGGAAGGGATGTGCAAAGAAGTATGCCAGGAGACTTCCACAGCACTCGGGGAAACCTGTGTTTCAATCGTGTTTCAATCCATTGAGTTTCAAGTTTCATTTTTGGAGCTTAAGCCCCCAAAACCCTGAATCCTATAACCCCAATTTTTTTCAACAGAAAGACTCTCAACGCCATACCCTCAAACTTTGACAGCCAGCAGAAGAAACGCCTTCTGCTCCTGAAGATCTTGGGCGATCTCGGCAACCTGGCGCTTCCATTGCTAAGAGTTCGCCTTTCTGGCTTAGGCTTCTGCCCAGAGACTCCAATATCCCTTAAGTAAGGCATATTCCTTAAATCATATGAGGAGTTCTACTATAATTTAGGGTAAATTCCTTAAAATTAAGGGGTATGGGAGTCTCTGGGTGGAAGATCATGATCAAGGTTTCGGTTTAGGATCTAGGATATTCAGCGAAGGGCCGTGGGGGTCAGGGAGGCTTCGGAGCGGTTAAGTTTGGTGAGGGTCGACCAACCCCATCAAGTTCGGATGGGGCCGTCACCTCACACTCTCAGGTTCATACAACCAACCAAAAATTCCTGCAGCATTAGAGATCAGGATTAAAGCTTTGAGGCGGTGGTTTTGGCGTTTCGGTTTCATTTCTCGACACTCGGCTTTAGGAGTTTAGAGATCAACCATACCTTCGAGGCCTGAGAAGGATCGACAGGCATTCGGCGCCACAACACTCTCAAAGCTTTGTCCGAATGAGGTCCAGCACGTGCCGCCAGATTTCAACAGATTGCATGCGAAGATCTATCCTTCAGAGCCGAACTTCTGCACCCTCCCCGCCCCCCAACCCTTAGCGACACATCAGAGGCAAAACTGCTGCAACACTGGCCCGGCCTTGTCCGGTGATTGCTCACGCTTGGCCTGTTCTTCCTCCAGGCGTCTTTTAGGGTTAGCAAGCTTCCAGCACACGGAGCCGAGGGCCGGGGTCGACCCCAAAAGAGGTGTATCACGAAAACAGCATGAATGACGTCAGCCTGAGGTTAGGGTTTCAGGGTCCTTTAAGGGCCCTTTGAGGGAACCCAAAAGGGATCTATAGGGCTTTAGGGTTTCGGCAGCTCCGACCTTGTTCTCCCGCAGCTCCTGCGCGATGTCTGTTGCCTGCAGGCCCGGGACGAGCTTGGGCTTGGGGGATGCAGTGAGGGCTCGCAGGCTCTCTTGGCATGGAAACGGCGACTTCGGCTGGGGGCGTGGCTTAATCTGATTGTCACGATTTCTGACACCCACTGTGATACGGGTGGTTGTCAAAATTATGGTCCCTTTTTGGGTCCTTGTTATAATACGGCACCTAATATTTAAGGTACCCAAAAAGGGACCCCAATCTTGACAACCACCCATACGAGGCTTGGGGCCTGCAGGTTCGCAGTCGGGCCTCTTGGCAACTTTCTTTGCCAGATCCCATGCAAAAACTCTTGCACACCCTACTTGGAGGATCATGGGACTTAGTAAGTAGGGTTATAAGTACCTGAATTGGGGTTATAAGTACAGTTACCCTAATTACAACCTTAGTTACTAAGTCCCATGATCCTTTAAGTAGACCCCCAAACCCATAACTACCCCAAACCCCAAAAGGGCACTAAAGCCCTTGTAAAGCCCTGCTGGAACGCTCTGGCATCACATCAAAACGGCCTGCTCAAAACCCCTAAGCCCCCAAAACCGTAGAGCCCTAAACCCGCGAATCCTTATAGAACCCTTTAAAGAAACCCTTGTAGTACTGATAGTAACCCTTTAAAGGAACCCTTATCGTAACCACGGCCTGCTCCTGCGTCACGACGCCGGACATCCGTCGGCAAGACATCCGCCGAGCGATCTTGGCAGCCTTTTCTTCCAGCTCTTTGGGGCAAAGTTGGTTGAGGGGTTCAGGGCTTAGGCTGTCAGGGTGGGTTTGGGGGTTTAGGGTTGGGGTTTAAGGGTTTATGGCTTAGGCTGTTAAGGGGTTTCGGGTTTGGGGTTTAGGGTCTAGGGGTTCAAGGGTTTTTCGGATTTAAGGGTTTAGGCTTCAGGGCTCCCTTTGATGGGTTCCGTTGCGAGGTCTATGAGGGGTCCATAGGATCTCGATCAAGTTTATGCATGTAAGGACTACTTTAGTCGCACGTGATCGCAATCCGAAACCTAAAAAGCCTAAATCCTGCACCCTAAACAATATTCCAAAGCCCTTTTAAGGGCTACACTCCTGAACCCTGAACTCTGAAACCCTTCTACTTGGAGATTCATGGAGTGGGGTCATAAGTAGGGTAACCGTAAATACAACCCATATTCGGGGACTTATAACCCAACTTACAGAAGCTCCAAGTAGGGCAAGATCTCTGGCAGCCGAGCCACTGCGCCGGACAGTTGCGGGCTGCTGACCTGCCGAAGTATAGAGGCTCGGTGACGGCTGCGGGAAGCTTTAGCGTTGATATTTGTAGTCTCCATTGTAGTTCCTTGTTTGTTACCTTACAGGACTTTTGCAGGACACTGAATTTAGATATGGGAGTACCCAAAAAAGGGACTACAATGGAGAATATAGGTAGTTCATACGTTTCGCAAGAGGCGTTACTTAAGAGTTGCAGTTTCTGCGTTGATGTGTTCTGTCGGCATCAAAGCTTCCCCACTTGCGAGAAGATTCTCCCTAAACCCTAATACCTATACACACTAAATCGGGTTTCGGAGTTGAACGCTGAGGTCTTGCACCCCCCCCGCCCAGGGTGCCACACACACACACACACAAAACTCAAAGCTTTGGTACACGCGGTCCTTTCATAACTTAGGGTTACCCAGGGTTACTGTTTCCCTCATATCGAATTTACAAAGACCCTGCCAAACAAAGTAGGCTCTGGTAGCTTACCATACCTTCTATCCCAGTATTTGCAGGAAGGAACTGGCTTATTAGAGGGACAAGAGCCCAAACCCCAAAGTCACGCCTCCTGCGGGGTGGCCGGCGCAGCAGAGGACTTCGGCGACTGCTGCGACTTCGGCGACTGCGCGGTGACTTGTATTGGGCGGTTCGTTCTGGGCCTGAAAGCGCGTTGAAACGATTTGAGAAGGAAGGCAAGGCTTAGACTAAAATTTACGGACTTGACAAGTAGTCATCCTTCATCATCCTGCAATCCGTTGCAGAACCACTCTTTTGGGCTTTATGCGTTGTAAGTTTTGTCAGCTCTCCGGCTAGAAGAAACTGAGCAGGTGGTAAGCCACTTACCAGTAGGCTTTAGGATTTAGGGCTTAGGGTTTAGGGTTGAGGGTGCAAGGTTTGGGGAGGTAAGTAAATTCGTAGTCACTTACCACCCCAACACGGTACTGAAGGGCCATAACGTTTCAGGCCTTAGACATATAGGTTATAGTGCCTAAGGCTAAGGTTCAGGGCTCTAGGGCTTCGATGGTCTTTGTATTTAAGAAAGTAGAAGGATTTGGGCTTTAATTATAGGGCTTAGGGTTTAGGGGTTGAGGGCCCTATAGTCCTTTTCATATTTAGACCAGACTATGCGCCAAAGCCCTACTCTACTTGTTAAGGCCTCTACATTAATGTCGAGCTCCTGGTGATTTCCGAACTGTCCAATCACACCTTCTGATAACAAAGCACAGAAGCCTGCCTTCATCACACGTATATTGTCCTACAAACACACTAAGCCCTAAACTAGAACCTGTAAACCCTAAGCCCCTGTAAAATCCCAAATGCTAAAGGCCTGCTTGGAAGATCATGGGAATCATGGGGATTAGTAACTAAGGTTATAATTACCTTAATCGGGGTTATAAGTATAGTTACCCTAACTATAACCCTAGTTACTAAGTCCCATGATCCTTTAAGTAGACCCTATAAAGACCCGTCTTAGCATAGAACCCCTATAGATCCCCTTTGAAGGAGCCCTTTAAGGTATATCCCTAGTTACTAAGTCCCATGATCCTTTAAGTAATGATCAATAGCCAGCCCATCCCCGGTCTCCTGCAATTTGCTCGGGGTCTCCACGGAGCCACGGCGGCTGCCAGCTGAGCCCTGGAGAAGGGCTGAGCCCAAAGAGTTGTCCCGGATACCAAAAAGTTACTGCACCGTTGGGATTGTACAGGGATTACAGTTTAGAGTAACCCGAAGAGTCAATAGTTACATATACACTACGAGGTAAAGGCTGAGGTTTTGAGAAGCCACAGTAATCCCACAAAATTAAGAGGTTTGACTACATTCTCTGCGTATTTAGGAAGAAATAAAACGAGAGATAAAAAGGCGACTCCCAGCTTCTGTTTGCTCTGAAAAGGGGCTGCTTACAGTATAGGGTTTAGGGTAGCCTTGATTCTTAGAATAGGGTTTGGGGGCCCATTATACTGTGTGATGATAAGGAACCCCCGAAATAGTACCCGTAAATCAAGCGAGGCAGTCCGTTGAAGGAGCAACACGAACTACCGACATGGAGGAAACGGTAGCTTAAAATAGAGACCTGCACATGGCTGTACCGCTGAAGACTTTAATTTGGGGGCCCGAACGCTGGGCATAAATGGCAATCATATATGTACAGCTGACTCTGTCACCTCGTCTTGCATCATAGACCACGTTGGAGCAAAGGCGAACTTCAACTGGCCGGGAAGGCTTTTGCAGAGTGGCGGGATCGCAGGGGTGTGTGGTTTTGGTCGCGCCTTGGAGTTAGCAGCGGCCGCTATGTTAAGTGTATCAGACGATGCTGTATTGTAGTATATGACATTCTTCTCTATTCAAGGATGTTGTATTTTGTTGCATATTGTATCATCTTGTATTATACTATACTATCTGAATAAGTACATTGTATTCCCTGCGCTTCATACTTGCCTTCTCAGCATCACTGTTTGCAAAGCCTTCCGTGCTGACTTCTGAACTAGCGGGTAAGCCCAATACCTGGAGAGCTGCTGCATTTTCATTGAGGCATTGGGCTACGGAATACATTCCGAGAGCTGAAAGTTATGAAGATCTTTATAGCTCAGGGTCTCGGCAGCATATCCAATCTGGGACAATTCGACTGGGTTCACGAAGCTACTGTAACCCGAACCCCAAACCGTAAACATCTGTACCGGTAACCCTGAATCGTAAGCCCTAAACCCTCTCCATCGGGCTTCTGTATACGTGCTCAACCCTCGACATGCTGAAATTCGAACTTCACAGGCATATGATGAAGGACATTATCACAACTTCCCTCCCGCACTCCACTCCACCGAACACACCGTCTGAATCCACGGCGACTATCAACTTCGCAACTCTGCACCTTTGTGATACCATGTCTGCACTAAAGCCTAGGATCTTTCTCATTTCGCACAGTCTCATTCCCGACAAAAGAAGCCGCGATTGGATGCCTGTGATGCTGCTTGCTCCGCAGCGACTCCCCAATGTCCGCAACCACGAGGTCCGTAACCTGGTTGTGTAGCGTTTAGGGTTGAGGGTCCAGGGTTTTCCTAAGACTAAGCAACTAAGTAGTAAACTGGTTCGGTCATGTTGCATTGGTGGGGACAGTACAAGCCCGACCGTCAGGAACACGAACGCGAGAGGAACCTTCAATCCCTTTCTGCTGACTGCAGCGCCCTGCTAGCCAAAAAGGCCCTACGGCTACAGCTCACATCACCATGAGCGAAGTTGCAAACCCTGAGCCTAAAGTCTCTTAAGGCCCTGATGCTCTCAAACCACCGGCAGAAGGTCATGGGCTCCCCGGCGGCTCAGCACCTTTTGCAGGCTGTAGAGGGTGGCCTCTTTGTCAAAGTAGCAACTAAGGGCAGGGGGCTTAGGGTTCAGGGTTTCAAGTTCAGGTCTTGTGGTCAAGGTCTAGGGTCACGGGGCAGGGGCTTAATAAGGCTTAGGGCCACGTGCGGCAAGGTGGGAGTTGTGATCCCATAGAGACAGCATGACTGTATGAGGAATGTGGATGAGAGTCGGCATTGCTTTTCCTATGAAGGTCATTCGCAAATTCGGCATCGGGCGCGCGGAAAAGCACACCATTGGGACATAACAACATGTTGCAGCAGTCTTTTTCGTCCTTGAGGGTCTAAAACTAGAGACAGTTGTGGGTTTTGGTCCCCAACTAAGCCCCAAAAAACTGAAACCCTAACCCGAAAACCCTAAAACCCTATGTTGGTGATGATGTCGCTGGCACCTTTCTATTCCGCCGAACCTGCTTCTCCAGCATGCTCCGAAGGTCCATCTATGGCTAGGGTTCTTCGGGTGCGAGCTTTTACCAGAGTTTAGGGTTTCGGGGCGTTTCGGACCTGAGCAGTTGAAGGATCTAGACTGCGGCAAAGCTATTTCGACAACCTACAACGCATCAACGGCTCACACAGCACACCAATGCAACGCGTTGCCTCTCCGTTGCAGCCAGCAGTGTCAGCACACACCTCAGAAAGTTGAGCTTCCAGAGTCCAGAGAGATCGATAAGCACCCTTGGACAGCAGTAGCAGTAGTCAGTAGCAGCAATAGCAGCAGCATCAGCAGCAGCGGCAGCAGTTTTTGTTTCTGATGGCTTGGGTGCCGGCTTACACCCTCTTTGCAACTGCTGGGAAATGCCTGTGCTATAAATGCCCGAATATAATCTGTAAGACCTCATCTATAAGAAGTATCACACGATAGTCTCTTGTACTCAAGAACCGCCCAAGGCCCTTCGATGTCCGAGGCTGCAGGCATCGTAGACGAGACCAGCAACACGCTCGCTGAGGTTGACTTCCTCGGCTCAGGTGTAGAGGCTTGAAGTCAGGACGACAACATCTGGCTAAGGTCCGGAGAGGATTTCACTACACGAGACTTTCTCGCAAGACCTCCGGGATCCTACTACAAGCTTATACGGAAGCGAACCTTAAATGGCAAACTCAAACTCTGAACCCCCAAGCTCGAACCGCTGCGATCCTAAACCCTAAACCACTTTAGGCTCTTTCCATGCTTTCGCAGGCGGAGCGCCAAAGGTAAGGCTGAATGCTGACCTTTGTAGGTACATACGGTAGAGCTTTACAACACTAGTGCTGCCGCAAGTGGGGCTCCTTGACTATGTTGGCAGTTGTGTATACAAGGTCTGTTCCATCCCTCATGAAAACAGGAGTCGTTGAAGTCTTACGCGTGGAAAGCCTTCAATAAACCAAGTCCTGAAGAACTTCACTATGTGAAGACCCGCAAGAATGTCGACCCGATGAAGGAACCTCGCTCCTCTAACAAGGAGTATATGTTTTGTCCCCCCCAACAACCAGAAGAGGTCCATCCTAAACCCCGAAACCCTCAGCCCCATCTGAGCCCTCAAATCAAGGGAAACCCCTAAACCCCTGAATAAACCCCAAGATCAACAATGTCTAACCCTGAAACCCTGGACCAAGAAACCCACGTAAACCCCACAACCCTGCAAGTCGATACACCCCAAAAGGCTCAACCCCAATGCCTACGCAAACCCTGGCACCCTACATACGCTAAACACCCCAGCCAAAACTCTGCAGAAGCCCTAGAACCCTTAACCTCGGCCCCAACCCTACAGAAACCCTGTAACCCTTCATAAACCTATACGCAAACCCTACTTGAAACTCCCTAAACCCTTCTGGGGAGGAGGACGCTGTGGACGCTTGTTTGTTCCACACCGGATCACAACATCAAGCAGTCGAAAACATAAAAATGAGCAACACCCATCCAGAAGCAGCCATGGTCACCCCTTCGAAGACCCACCTTCATGTAGTTTCCTATCCGTATATTACCTTGGTCCAAGGCTCTTTATAGATAGACGCCATATGAAACAACGCGAATTACGATGTATTCTCGGTAGATTCTATCTTATGGCCTGCTTGCTCCTCATGAAGCTTCTCATGAACCAATGTTGAGCTTACCCAAAAACCTCTGACCAGGATCCGGCCGGGCTTTAATATAACTTATGAGGCACCAGGCGTGGCAGTGTGGTACTTTTCGCATGTGCATACAAAAGTAGGGTATAGCATAGTAGAGCGTAAGATATAATATGGCATGGTGCCCGTATACTGGAGCGTAAGATATAATATGGCATGGTGCCCCGTAATATGGTAGTGCAGTATTGCGACATACAGTCTAGTTCATCATGTATGTGTAGTAATTATAGCATGATACAGAACAGCTGTATACTGTGCTATAGATACAGATTATGGTAGTCTGATATCATACGAACCTGTTGAATATGAATACTGTAGGTCGAAGGTAGAAGACAGAGATCAGCCTTATGTTCTAGTCTAGTGTATTACAATATGTTGTGATATGACACTGGCAGTAAAGTGCACGATAGCATATTGTAGTGTTGACGCTATATTGCAGTGTGGTATAGCATACACTATATGGGATACGATAGTCTAGTATAGCACTACCGCAGCATGGTGTAGGAAAATACACTGTTGCATGGCCCTGTTTACTATGTTTACTATTTTAGGAGGGTATAGTAGAGCATAGCATGATAGAGCAAGGTATAGTGCGCTAGCATAGTACAGCGAATTATAGTCAGGAGCCTAGTGTACTATTCTGCCGTCAGTTCTAGTTCACTATATAAAGCACGAGCATAGGTCATAGAAAGAGCGATTTGCGTGCATGAACCGAAGAATGTGGTACCATGCACACCACATATCCACTTACAAGGCTCGGGGTCGACACCACAGGGTATCTGCTCGCAGTACTCTCGGTGCCAAAATGGCGGGGTATATCGCAAGTACGAATTGAGGCTGTGCTTTCTTTGTTAGTGTGTCTGTGTGTGTTATGTCAACGTATACGATGAGTAAACTGAGTAAAATCACGAGTTCGACTTCCCATTAGGCTAATCTTCTTTCACTGGACTAATCGAAGGGCCTTCAATTGCTTGTATCGGCTATGCATATGATATGATATACAATGTTTCAATTTAGGTTATTAGAGCGTAGCATAGTACAATGTATTAAAGATAAGCATTGACGCCATAATCTAGTATGGTGTAATGCAGTCTAGTATAGCAAAGTGCAATGTAGTACCTTTCAATACGGGCAAACCCAGTACAGTAAACTCGAGCATAGATGACGATTAACTATCAAATATTGAGTGGTACTGTGTCGACTGCTATGCAATGCAATGCGGTATTAGTATCGTGCAATCCAGCATAGCACAAAGGGGCTTGGTATATGGTAGTGCAACTTACTACATTCAAACATAGCCTAGTCTAGCAGTCTAGCACCAACGCAATATAGGATAACCTTGGACGTTACAGTGCTGCATAGTCGCAATGGTGTAAAAACAAATGGCTACTATAGTATATCAGCGGCACACCTGTAGTCTGGTTTGGTGGGATAGACTATAGTACATAATTATTGGGAGCCCTATGATCCTGAGCTCTGCAGAATTAAGGTCAACAGGTTTGGAAATATGGAAAGCCCAATGGAATTCCACATCTCCACATGTGCAAAGCTCTGTGGCTTTGGACGCAGCACATGTGGAAAGGTGGAATTCCATTGAGGTTTCCGTTATGTGGCAGACAGACGCAATGCTGGGCCCCCTGGGTCCGAGACCCAACATTGCAGAAACAAAAATTCTTGGACCCGCTCCGAGAGCCACACGCCCCGATTTCAAGATTTGGAAAAACTTAAGTGTTTAAATCGGGGCCCGGCTCCAAGATGGATCCAAAAAACATCTTTCTGCAATCTTGGATCTTGGATCCAGCCGGGGCCCCGACTTAAACACTTAAGAAACTTAAGTCGTTAAGTCGGGGCCCGGGCTGGATCCAAGATCCAAAAATTGCAGAAAGAAGTTTCTTGGATCCATCTTGGATCTGGGAGGGCCCCGACTTAATGAGTTAAAAAATTAAGTCATTAAGTCAGGGTCCTGGCTGGATCCAAGATGGATCCAAGAAACTTTTTCCTGCAATCTTGGATCTTGGATCCGGGAGGGCCCCGACTTAATGACTTAAAAAACTTAAGTCATTAAGTCAGGGCCCCGGCTGGATCCAAGATCCAAGATTGCAGACAAAAGTTTCTTGGATCCATCTTGGATCTGGGAGGGCCCCGACTTAATGACTTAAAAAAATTAAGTCATTAAGTCAGGGTCCTGGCTGGATCCAAGATGGATCCAAGAAACTTTTTCCTGCAATCTTGGATCTTGGATCCGGGAGGGCCCCGACTTAATGACTTAAAAAAATTAAGTCATTAAGTCAGGGCCCCGGCTGGATCCAAGATCCAAGATTGCAGACAAAAGTTTCTTGGATCCATCTTGGATCCGGGCGGGGCCCGACTTAATGACTTAAAAAAATTAAGTCATTAAGTCAGGGCCCCGGCTGTATCCAAGATGGATCCAAGAAACTTTTTCCTGCAATCTTGGATCTTGGATCCAGCCGGTTCCCTGACTTAATGACTTAAAAAAATTAAGTCATTAAGTCAGGGCACCGGCTGGGAACACAACCGACAAGGAAGAAACAAGCGTCCACGGCGTCCCCTTCTGAAACCCTAACCTCGGCGCCAGGCAAGGAAGCTGGCGGCGATCCGGAAGTCCCTCAAAGAGAGAGGCAGGTCGAAACCTCGAAGTGGGGACACGGCAGGGTTTCGGGGGCTTCCCTGAAGGGGTTCTTTTAAGCTTTCCTATTGGCTACAAGGGTTACGGGGGCTTCCCTTGAGCCCTTCAGAGTTCCCTTAAGCTTTCGTGTTTACGATTTAGAAGTCATTGTGTGGTTGGAACTTGGGTTTCGTGGTAGTCGAAGGGTCTATGGCTTTCGGGATCCCGAGGCGACACCCTCTACAACCCCTTTTGTTTTGTTTGCTTCAGGCTATCGGGGTGCCATGCTCGAGCTGCGATACCTAAGGGGTACCCCTCAACGGCTGCCTTGTTAGAGGAGAAGCCATTGGGAGGAGCCCAAAGAAGGTAGGCTTTGTGGGCCATATGGTATCTTATAATCTTATCATTTACCAGGATGCACAAGTTGCAAGTCAAGTATGGGGCCACACCTGCGGAATCTGGGATGTTGCTCGCTTGCGGCCTATGACAACACTTGCACACCTCCAAAAATGTACTTCGCCGGGTGCCACACAACCGCTCAGGGGCTCGAAGGCAACGTCCAAGGCGAGGTACCGGGACATGAGCTGGCGCCAGACCTCTGAGTGCGAAGTTCTGACCCCGGCAGCCAAAGATCTTCAAGCCGGTGCACATAGGAAGAGCACGCACTCATGGTTGTAGAAATTGGCACTCCGATTCGCAGTTCGGGAACTCCCATGTCACACCCCAACAAGCCCTGAAAGTCCTAAAAACATCCTGAAACCCTAACTTCATCCAACTCCTCCTTTTCAAGGCCCACGTAACCCTAAACCCCTAAACCCGTGCAACTAAAGCTTCGCCGAGAAGACAGGGCCTCTCCGGCCAAGACCACGCGCATGTTGGCCTTGGCAGGTAAGGCACTTTTAGGGTTTAGGGTCTTTGTGAAATGTTTAGGGGTTTCGGGTTTGGGGTTTAGGGCGTAGGATGTTAACAAGCACAGCGGCAATGGGAGCAACGGAAAAGCAGGCAGAAAAGGAATAAGAACGTGAACATCACAGCATCCTGCTTGTGACATCGCAGCGGCTGACATGCCCATGCCTCTCTGTGACAAGGAGAAAGACAATAACTTGAAGCGAAGCTCAGGTAAACCCTCAGGCAAAGGAGTTCTGCTTCAATTTGAACTAAACAACTAGGACCTGCAGGTAACCGTTTAAGAATCAAACGTGTGGGCACCGCAGCCAGCGGCGGCGACGTCGCGGATTCACCTTGCCCGCTTGGTCCAGGCCTCTCGCGGACGTTCTACGGTTTTGAAGCAGCTTGTTCTAGGATTATCACCCCATGGTCTTGAGCTCCCAGGCAAAACTGTACACCCTTCGTGAGCTACCTCGCTCATAAAGAAAGCTACAATCCTGCCAACAAATTTGGCCAGCGCCCACCATCAACAATACTCGAAGGCCAGGTGGGCGAAAACCCCGCAACCCTACACCTCAGGTTCAGCTCTTATAAACCTCAAAACCCAACCCACCAGCCCAGTACAAGAGCGGGCCTCGAATCACGGACTGGCAGAGCTTGTAAGGCCTCATGATATTCAACGGGGCCGAACGGCATCGGAGTAGGTCGAGGTCCATGGAACATACAAAACGGGAAGCTAGTACCTGCATTGTGAAGGCATGGGTGCACTATGCCCCACAAGAGATGTCTCTGGTGCTTGGGCAGCGCACCTATCCATGCTGAAGGGCACCTCGCTGGTCAAGCCTCGGTCAGATTCAGAGCTGCTGTCGTTCATGACGAGGAGACCCGTGTGTTTTCGGAGCCGTGCAAGAGTCAGTGAGTGAGTCAGGGTGTGCCTCCCACCAGCGACTGGTCGTGTTTGCGTATGCCAGCCATCCCTCATTATCAGCATGACTGCTGCTGTTTTACCATTGTTACAGCTGCCAAATTTTTGCTACTGCTGTTGTCACTCAAGCTATATTTATTCAACGACAGGTAAAGCGGAGCCACAAGGGTTCTTAAAATCTGAAAACTTTGATGAGACCCTGGCGGCGCTCGGAGGGCGGTAGAAGCATCTCCTTGGCTGAATCTTAACTTATTCTGGGGTCCTTATAATTCGGACCCCACTGCTATTTAGGGTACTATAGGGTTCCCTATTTTCGGAAATTCCCAAATATGAGAGTCGCACGTCGCACAGTTCAATGGGGCGGCAGCAATGTGGGTGCGGGTGCGTCGCGTAGTGCGAACCCGATATCCCCGCCACTTGTATGGTTTACATACACAAGCTCCCATGCAGTAGCTTGGTAGTAGCCGAGCGCTATGTTTCAAAGCTCGAACGCTGTGTGATCTGACTGAAAGTCTGGCAATGGGGCCAGGCTGCCTCGTCTGCAGCATTGGAGCGGTGCGCATGCATTCATGTAGGATACCGCCCAAAACACCGGCGCAAACCCTGGAAAGTTCAAGAGCTCCCGCGTGCGCTAACTCACCACACAAAACTGAAACCAAAACTGACCCTGACTTAGCCGCCAGGTCTCGTCGACAAGAACCAGTCTGGCGAGAACCATCGTAGCCATCTGCAATGAAGATCCGAAAAGCAACTGTGTAGTCGTAAAACTCTATAATACTATGGGTGCAAGAGGCAACGGCTATCCTTGCAAGCTTTGGAAGCAAACATCGCCATGCTTCAACAGGATTTAAACATGCAAGCTGACGAACGATGAAAGCTCAAACCTATACACACTCTTAATTACACGCTCAAGTCAAGAGACGAAGAACTTACATCCGAAAGAACATGAAAGAACCATCCGATACCCATCTCCCAACCCCTAACATCTCTCGAGTCCAAAAATCAAAAGTTTAAAGCCTGAGCCCTGGCAGCAACAGCAACGGCTCGTCGCCTGCTCGCCACCGATACGGTAAGCCCGGGCCACGAGCCTCACAGGAATCTTAAAGCGTCGGGCCTTGACCCTTATCATGTTAATCTGTCTTAAAAAGCATCACGCGTGTTTTTCTGTATATAAACCCATGAGGATACTGTTGCTGCGTAGATGTGTGGGTTTTTGTGTGATATATATACAGATAAAGGAGACGGTATGCATGTAACTGAGGACAAATTTGCCCCTTTTACATACGATCTGCGGGGCTTTCTGTCTAACGGTTTGGAGTTTCGCGGGATCAATCTTGCGAGAATCCGTTGTTGATCCTTCCGGTAAAGACCCTTCAACCCCGAACACTAGACCCTTAAACTAAGACCCTACACCTCAAACCCCGAAACCCACAGCCCTACGAAGCCCTACACCGAAACAATAACAAGCTCAGCCCTACAAACCCTACTGGCCTATCGAGCAGTACAGCTCCAAATCAGTACCTCAACACCTCAACACCTCAGCCTGTAACCCTGAACCCAAAAAACCCTACATCCTAAGCCGTCAGCACTACAACCATAAACTCCAGATCCCATATCCTTCAGAACACCCGTCGCTTCGGGCCTCATGTGCTTCAGCCTGGTCCTCTCCAAGGCTGCCAAGTCTGCCTCTGCTTCGGCTTCTTATTCGAAGGCTCTCGAAGGTTTTTTACAAGGATCTAGGGATCTATAGGGGTGTCGATAAGACTTTAGGGCTCTCTGAGAATTTTCTATATGAGTTCTGGAGGTCAAGATTGCAGGGTTAAGCTTCGAACCTGTTGAGTTTGCATCTCGCAGGTTTTGCACTTAGGGCTGAACTTGAGGGTTTCAGACTTCTGGCCTGCACCTGTGCTACAATGCTGCGCGAGATGCCTACGGTAGCTCCAAACCAGCCCATGTGCTAAAAGGCCACAGACAGGTAGCTCCATACATGTGGGGGAACTTCGATAAATGTGGGGGGAACTTCGAAATCTTTGAACACGGCGCGTCAACAACATGCACGACAAATCCACGTCTGACTGAAGCTGGATCAAACCCGACCACGGTGACCACCTTACACCAGATTCTCCGACGCCCAGCGAAGCAAACCTTTCCTGAGCGCATGAATTAGTAGCAAATCGTAGCCCTGCAGTCTTGCTGAGATCATAGCACTTCCGTTACAGGGAGCTTGTGTCTTCCTGCATGTCTATATTTGCAGAAATAGTATGAGACTCAGTAAGTAGAGTCAGTAAAGAAACATACGGTTACAGATAGATGTGTATATAAACGTATGTACATACATACATACATACATACATACATACATACATACAAACATACGCATATTATATTCTGATATATATATATATATATTCATAAAAACACATACATGTCTGTATGCATGCATGCATCATGTTATGTAAAGGCCCCGAGTCACCCCCCACTCCCCGCAAAGCAAAGCAGAGCCCGGGCACCTGCCGGGACGCCGTCAGCACCGCCCCGGAGTCGCGCCAGGCCTCCTGGAGCAGCAGCACCAATTCCACCATGGCCTCGGGCAGAGGCTTCGATTTCGGGAGGTTTTAGAGGAGGTTATCGTGGTTCTGAAAAAAAGGCTCTAGAAGGGGTTTTATAGGGCAGAAGTTTCAACACAACCAAGCTCTTCTATCAGGTTTTCTGAGGGGTTGATGCGGCTTCCGCATCTCTTGGGGCAGTTTGACTCAATCCCTCCGTGCATCGACGTGTCCCCGGTGAAATATACACCCAAACCCTCGACCAGCCTTAACTAACAGCGAGAGAAGACTGCCATCCTCACAGTATGTGCTGGTACGGTTGGATCGGTGAGGATTGGCAGTCATCTCCAGTACGAAGCAGACGAACCAACCCTCAAGCCAGGCCTGATGTTCCTGCAGCTTGGCAGGGCTGGCACGAAGTGCCTTCTCCACGCTGTAAGAGAGGCCTGAGCAAGAACGGAAGCTGATTTGTGGAAGCTCGTTGGTTTGTGGTTTGGGATTTATAAGCCATGCTCAACGTCGAAGCTTATCTGAGTTGGGTCAAGTTCGGCATTTCCTAGAAACATCTCGTTTATCGATTACTGGGATTTTGGAAGCCTGTGTCGCTGAAACAGAAGCTTAGTCCAAGACTCTGCTAGACATGTTTCGAGGAGTTTGGGCTTTCCTAGGCAGCCAAAGAACTTTATCCCACGCCTTCGGACCAACTGCGCAACAGTGAAGTGAGACAGACTGCTGGAAACTAGATTTTCCTGTATGGCACCCGTATGAATTTTCTACACTCAAACTGTCAAGTATGAAACCGGCACAGAAACAAGATTTAAACAAAATTCGACGAACTCTCTCGCGCTCCCCTGCGCCAGCGGCTTTGCGAAGACCCTCCCCAGCATCGCGGCCTAAGGCGGCTGATAGCTGCGAGTAGCCTTGCTGGCATGCAGTCGTCTTTACTGCCATTCATTTCAAGAGGTGGGAGTTGATGCTTGCGTGGGAGCTCCAAGAGAACAAAAGGGCACAGAGTTTACAGTTTCACTGCCCGGCACTTTTGCAGTGTGTTGCATCAGATAGCTGCTAGATAGCTCGTCACTGCTTGGAAGAAAGGTTGGAACTCATACTTCTTCGTGTCTGTGAGCTGAATCGAACCCAGGCCAATGCAATGCCCACAGTCGCCCTTGAACCCGAAAAGAGACTCCGACAATACTCGCAATCGCACTGTCAGCCGAGGAAC